GTGTCTGCTGACTGTGAGGTACAGGGTCAAAGTTTACTCAACGATGAGTCCGTGGCGAACCGTTCGTGGCGAACCATTCGCGAACCGTTCGGCGAACAGTTCGGGACATCACTAATATTTATATATTTATAACACGCTAGGTGCTAATTGGCAATAGTAACATTAATGACTGGTAACATATCTATAATATGAGAAGATATATATTAATAGTAGATAAATAGGTTTTCAATCATGTGACTTGCAGCAAATTTGAGCTTATCTCAATTTCCAGGGGACAGGGTTATATTTTCAAGTATTTTTTGAAAAATTATTTTGTTGAATATGTTCATGAGATGATACCAGATTACTTAAATACATTATGTGAACCCTGTAGGTTAGTATTTCTTTTTAATATTACTTTTAAAGGATTCTTATTGTACTCTATTGGAACCTAAAAAAAACCCTCAGAAATGGTCACATTTTCAGGAAATCTGTGATTTTATACGTGGTGTCTCTGAAATGAGGCCATCAGATTGTCTTAGTAAAAAGCTGCATTCTCTGGATTGGAGCCTTGTGCCATTGTACACTTTGTAATTAAAGAGTGAAAGGGATTGGAATAGGCTTTGTCAAAGTGATTATTTCATTACATGGCTGAATGAAAAAAGAAATACAAAATGAAAATAAGGGCGTCTGGATCAGTCAGGAGTCGTGGAATCCCAAACTACCCATTTTATAAAGAATTACCAGGTGAAGTGCATAGTCAGAACTAATTCACTGGTCATGTTAGGACAGATAGCAACGAGTCAAAGTCTATAGAAAAAATCCAGGAATCTCAGAACTAGAGACCACGAAATAAAGAGCAGAAAAATATAACAGGACCGATGGGAACTCCTCGTACAGTCTGGACATGGGAGGCTGGAACCAAAATGAGCACGAGTTATCTGGAGCTCTTTTTGGGGATTAAATGGGTGGACCTCTTGTAGAACCAGGCACAGAGCTGGTAGGCTGCTGGATGATGCAGAGACGGAGTTGCAAGATTGAAGACTCTATCATGGTGTAATTGCAGCCTCGATATAGCGAGCATTTCCTCTATGTGATAGTTTTACTTGACAAGCTTTATCAATAGAAATTACAAGTCCCCACAATTGCTACCAAAGTGTCGATCTGTGATGCGGTGGACATGTGCGAGAGTCGCTCTGTATTAGATTACAAGAATCAGAAAATAAAATAAAGGCTTCAAAGTACATGGCTATGAAGAGGGCAGTGATAATAAGATAAAGAACAAGAAGAATGCGGCATTGCTGACTGTTAAAGCCCTTGGTATAATGAAAGAGATGTAACCAAAGACATGTATACCGTGACCTTTAGAAGTTCTTGAGGTTTGGCAGCTAGAGAGAATTGTAAGAAATGTCATCTTTTAGTAAAAAGCTAAAACATTGTTTAAAAAGAGTTTATATAAATAAATACATTTTTCATTTCACCAAGCACGCTTTTTAACCTACTGAGGCTGCCCTTATCTGCTTTGCAATTTTCTGATATAATTACAGTAACAATTATTGATATCATACCTTCCAGTGTTTCAAAAAGACACAAAGAGACTCTTTAATCTTATGGGTGTGGATTGGTTCGGTCAGGGACAACAAGAACAATGTGTTTTAATTACACAGACTGATTTCTAAACAAATTTATTGTAGTTTAAATACACATTACTTGGAGTATTATTGCTGTGGAGCTCTGTTATAACACATTACTGGGAGTATTATTACTGTGGAGCTCTGTTATACACTCAGACACATTACTGGGAGTATTATTGCTGTGGAGCTCTGTTATACACTCAGACACATTACTGGGAGTATTATTGCTGTGGAGCTCTGTTATACACTCAGACACATTACTGGGAGTATTATTGCTGTGGAGCTCTGTTATACACTCAGACACATTACTGGGAGTATTATTGCTGTGGAGCTCTGTTATACACTCAGACACATTACTGGGAGTATTATTGCTGGGAGCTCTGTTATACACTCAGACACATTACTGGGAGTATTATTGCTGTGGAGCTCTGTTATACACTCAGACACATTACTGGGAGTATTATTGCTGTGGTGCTCTGTTATACACTCAGACACATTACTGGGAGTATTATTGCTGTGGAGCTCTGTTATACACTCAGACACATTACTGGGAGTATTATTACTGTGGAGCTCTGTTATACACTCAGACACATTACTGGGAGTATTATTGCTGTGGAGCTCTGTTATACACTCAGAGACATTACTGGGAGTATTATTGCTGTGGAGCTCTGTTATACACTCAGACACATTACTGGTAGTATTATTGCTGTGGAGCTCTGTTATACACTCAGAGACATTACTGGGAGTATTATTGCTGTGGAGCTCTGTTATACACTCAGACACATTACTGGGAGTATTATTGACGTGGAGCTCTGTTATACACTCAGACACATTACTGGGAGTATTATTGCTGTGGAGCTCTGTTATACACTCGGACACATTACTGGGGGTATTATTACTGTGGAGCTCTGTTATACACTCAGACACATTACTGGTAGTATTATTGCTGTGGAGCTCTGTTATACACTCGGACACATTACTGGGAGTATTATTGCTGTGGAGCTCTGTTATACACTCGGACACATTACTGGGAGTATTATTGCTGTGGAGCTCTGTTATACACTCCGACACATTACTGGGAGTATTATTGCTGTGGAGCTCTGTTATACACTGACACATTACTGGGAGTATTGTTGCTGTGGAGCTCTGTGATACACTCAGACACATTACTGGGAGTATTATTGCTGTGGAGCTCTGTTATACACTGACACATTACTGGGAGTATTGTTGCTGTGGAGCTCTGTGATACACTCAGACACATTACTGGGAGTATTATTGCTGTGGAGCTCTGTTATACACTCAGACACATTACTGGGAGTATTATTGCTGTGGAGCTCTGTTATACCCTCGGACACATTACTGGGAGTATTATTGCTGTGGAGCTCTGTTATACACTCAGACACATTACTGGGAGTATTATTGCTGTGGAGCTCTGTTATACACTCAGACACATTACTGGGAGTATTATTGCTGTGGAGGTCTGTTATACACTCAGACACATTACTGGGAGTATTATTGCTGTGGAACTCTGTTATACACTCAGACACATTACTGGGAGTATTATTGCTGTGGAGCTCTGTTATACACTCAGACACATTACTGGGATTATTATTGCTGTGGAGCTCTGTTATACACTCAGACACATTACTGGGAGTATTATTGCTGTGGAGCTCTGTTATACACTCAGACACATTACTGGGGTATTATTGCTGTGGAGCTCTGTTATACACTCAGACACATTACTGGGAGTATTATTGCTGTGGAGCTCTGTTATCCACTCAGACACATTACTGGGAGTATTATTGCTGTGGAGCTCTGTTATACACTCAGACACATTACTGGGAGTATTATTGCTGTGGAGCTCTGTTATACATCAGACACATTACTGGGAGTATTATTGCTGTGGAGCTCTGTTATACACTCAGACACATTACTGGGAGTATTATTGCTGTGGAGCTCTGTTATGCACTCAGACACATTACTGGAAGTATTACGGAGCTCTGTTATACAGACACATTACTGGGAGTATTATTGCTGTGGAGCTCTGTTATACACTCAGACACATTACTGGGAGTATTATTGCTGTGGAGCTCTGTTATACACTCAGACACATTACTGGGAGTATTATTGCTGTGGAGCTCTGTTATACACTCAGACACATTACTGGGAGTATTATTGCTGTGGAGCTCTGTTATACACTCAGACACATTACTGGGAGTATTATTGCTGTGGAGCTCTGTTATACACTCAGACACATTACTGGGAGTATTATTGCTGTGGAGCTCTGTTATACACTCAGACACATTACTGGGAGTATTATTGCTGTGGAGCTCTGTTATACACTCAGACACATTACTGGGAGTATTATTGCTGTGGAGCTCTGTTATACACTCAGACACATTACTGGGAGTATTATTGCTGTGGAGCTCTGTTATACACTCAGACACATTACTGGGAGTATTATTGCTGTGGTGCTCTGTTATACACTCAGACACATTACTGGGAGTATTATTGCTGTGGAGCTCTGTTATACACTCAGACACATTACTGGAAGTATTATTGCTGTGGAGCTCTGTTATACACTCAGACACATTACTGGGAGTATTATTGCTGTGGAGCTCTGTGATACACTCAGGCACATTACTGGAAGTATTATTGCTGTGGAGCTCTGTTATACACTCAGACACATTACTGGGAGTATTATTGCTGTGGAGCTCTGTTATACACTCAGACACACCAACAATATGGAGCTCCTAGAAAAGAGAGACATTAGGTTAGAAAGAGGGACAGAGGGAATTTGGCGCAAAGTAAGGGCTGTTCTTCTAAATAAGGGAAGTATGTAATTTTAAACCATTTCTGTAACTCCTAACAGCACCAAATTTTTATTATTATTATTGCCATTTATTTTGTGCCAATATATTGTAGAAATAGGCTATTTAGAGGTGAACTAGGCCCTTCTAAAACAAGCTTACAATCCGTGAGGTATGTGGATATTTACCATTTTGTGTCTAAAGAAAAGAGGTTAACACTGCTCTAACCATATATTAAAGGAACACTATAGTCACCTAAATTACTTTAGCTAAATAAAGCAGTTTTAGTGTATAGATCATTCCCCTGCAATTTCACTGCTCAATTCACTGTCATTTAGGAGTTAAATCACTTTGTTTCTGTTTATGCAGCCCTAGCCACACCTCCCTGGCTATGATTGACAGAGCCTGCATGAAAAAAAAACTGGTTTCACTTTCAAACAGATGTAATTTACCTTAAATAATTGTATCTCAATCTCTAAATTGAACTTCAATCACATACAGGAGGCTCTTGCAGGGTCTAGCAAGCTATTAACATAGCAGGGGATAAGAAAATCTTAATTAAACAGAACTTGCAATAAATAAAGCATAAATAGGGCTCTCTTTACAGGAAGTGTTTATGGAAGGCTGTGCAAGTCACATGCAGGGAGGTGTGACTAGGGTTCATAAACAAAGGGATTTAACTCCTAAATGGCAGAGGATTGAGCAGCGAGGCTGCAGGGGCATGTTCTATACACCAAAACTGCTTCATTAAGCTAAAGTTGTTCAGGTGACTATAGTGTCCCTTTAATGAGATGGAGCTCCAGGCCTACACGTTACAAAAAGCCAAGCTGCCTGGTTGTTCTTTTATTTGAGTTTTGCTGTAGCCATGAAGTGCTGGGTGCCATTATCATAGTGTGTGGCAAAAGCGTACTAACATTGGGCAGGGGGTTGCAAATCATTCCCCTGCCACCAGAGAAGGCAACTGCCTACTGGCGCATTGTTGGTGGGCAGGGTTGGGCTGGACCATCTGTGAGCCACTGAACCCTGGGGGAGGAAGGCATCTGGTATGATGTAAATGCATATGCAGATAGAGCCACTAACAGATGGATCCTGCTATTAGAATGGGCAGCTAGTTGCTCCTCGCTCAGCCTCAGATTTGGTGAGAACACCAGGATAAGTGCAGAGTGTCAGTGATACGATTGCAGCTGTCCATGTTAGCAGTGCAATGTATCTAAGTTACTGAGAAAGTGTTTAAAGAAATTATGTTTTAAGCCGTTCCCCTCCCTCAGCCTGAGAGGTTAGCCCGTAATATTTAGGAAGAAATAAACACTTTAGTTTTTCATATTTCCAAATCTGTCGAGACTAGTACCCTCACAAATCAATAACTGAAAGCACTGGCGTCATGGTTTGTAAATAGTTTCACGCAAGTAATAAACTGGATCCTCCAGCTGTTAAATGAGTTACTCTGTTAAAATCATACTTTAAATAGAATATGTGTCCATAGCGAAAAAAAGAAACTCTCCAGACTTTGCAACGTTCTGTGAGTTCATGAATTTATGAGCCTAACTGGTTTCTCAGAAATGATCCGACCAAACTCCTGACTCAGTGGGCAGACTCAATGGGGCATACCTCATCTGCATTATTTCTCTGATCGGTGATGATGTCACTGACCTTCTCAAACTGGATTTGGGTAATCTAATGTTTCACAAGCCTCAATAAACATCTGTGATTGAACACTTCAGTAGGAATCACCAATCAGGGCTCTATCTAATTAGAGGTGTTTGAAATATCAAAACACTCCATGTAGCTACCCTTACTAACATGTCTACATGAGATGTATTCACTAAACTGCGAACTGTGGTAATTCAAAACCAAATTTGCTAAATTAAAACCGAAATAACTGATTGCACTGTTATCAGGCCTTATTTGTGAATGGTGAGATGTTATATAGTTTTGCTTTATTTTATTAGCTTATTGTGCTTTTTTGTGAATTTAATTTTTCTCTCTATTTATCAGAAGTTAAATCGTCTACTTAGAAATAATATTAGCGTCCTTTATTCATTAAGTACTAGGTAGTTAAAAAATACTCTACAATATTTATACATAGAAACAGACGTGCACTTAGGACATTTGGCAAAATGTTTTAAGCACTTCTTTAGCCCTCTCACCTGATTGTGTAGTTTCTTCAGCCCCCCTTGTCTGTCCTTACCCCATTTTTACCTATTGGTTTTGTCTCCCCCACTTTCCACTTAATCCCTATGTGTATCCTTGTTTATTCCCCCTCATCCCCTTGACTGCAGCAGTGGAAGTCATATATCCACCTCCTCCACTCACTGTTGTGGATCCAAATAATGATCTTTGTTATATTCAGAGGAAGCCCAAATTGTTGTGGATCAGAAATAATGATCTTTGTTATATTCAGAGGAAGCCCAAATTGTTGTTACAAGTGCACTTGGAGAAGCGAGAATTAGACACCAGACACCTGTTGGTATTCAAAATAAGCCTCTGACGTTTTATTAATCGGCTGGGTTTTATACATTAAAAAGTAAGTGCTTACGTGCAAATACTCATAGAACAGTAATAGGAAGGGAGTACAGATAAGGGATGAACGTCATGTACACATAACAAATAAGTTCCAAGGTAAGAAAGAACACAAAGATTAGAGAAGAGACATCTTAGGTGGGGGCTCTCTGCTCCCGGAACTTAGACATATATGGTCTTAAGTGTTGTTTAAGCATCAAGCATTTCCTGAGTTCAAGTTAGCCAATTTTAATATAGGATATCATTATATGACACCTATAAGCTTGAGCCTTGGAATCAAGATAAATTCTATCACACACTGCACACCGCCCGGAGTAGTACTGACAAGGCAGAGGAGCCTAAGTCTTGTTCATCCATGCTGCGAGTATAGCACCTTTGCGAGAATGGATTCTGATAGAATATTTCACTTCACATTACACCGTTGAAGTGATTGGGTAATTGGGATCTAAAAAGGGACTATGAAAGGAAAAGAAAAATTGAAACAGTTGCAGTTTTCAGGGTGGAGGTAAAGATGGAAACCATAAAACCATAAAATTCATTAGAAAACAGATCATTCTGAATAGCGACAATATGTTTTTACAATAATCTAAAACTTTCATGCCATTAACCCAATAATGTAATGAAATGGCCGATAACTCCCTTGGGCATTCCCATTTCAAAGATGAAAAACATTCCCCTTAATTTTATCATCATCTTCAATCAATTGCATGTTTCCATCAGTTACGCACCTCCAACTCCTAAAATGATGTTCTGGTCGCCAGCTTTTATATTTGCCTTGGGTGCTTCCTTCAATATGAAATATATTGCAAAGAGCTGCGCTGATGAGCTCTCGTTAATTCATTGTTCACAATCTTAGTGTCTTGACATTTGCAGCATCGAAGGTACATGCATCGTTGAACCCTTCTATGGTGCGCGGCCTAATCAGAATGACTTGACTTCTTCAATCTTTTGATACACTATTTATTGCGTACTCATTAATACCGTGTTCTTTTTGCTGTGTCACTGGGGAGATGTTATCTTGTTTCAAGATAACATTGTGAATTGTATAATACATTTGGCAGTATGAGACAAGCTAGCGTTTCCTTTAATGGTCTTGTGTTTGATCTAGAGTAAGCGGTGGAATATCGTTACCAAAATAATGGAAAGACAAACGTGCAAAGTAAAAATATGCGTGTCTAAGGAATACCTTTACAAAAGTAAAAAAAAAGTTTATATGATGTTTGAATAAAACATTTTGTTTTATATATATATATATATACGTATGCATTGTTATATTTTCCTACTTAACTATTTAATTACCATGTTCTTTTCATGCTAAAAGGTAGCAACAAATATATGTAGGGTTAAGCAGCCCTGAGTTCCTGACTGCTATAATACACCCATGATGTTTGCCCGATGTATATTTTTTTAAGGTTTTTTTTTCTTTGCAATCCCTATCAAGCATATTTATTTTATTGGCAAGGAAGGGGTTAATAACGTTTAACTTAGTATTACTAAGATATTAAAAACATCTAGATTCAAAGAGGATAACAAGAAAAAGCCATCACTTCACATACTCTGCAGGGGCCCTTCAAAAAAAAGAAGTAATATCAGCTTATTTGTTAATTAAAACGGAACATTACAGTATCCATTGGGAAATCTCATAATGCATAAATTGAAGATCCAAGCCAAAAAATATATAAAAGAAATACAATCTGGAGTTTCCTCAGGAATTATAGAAAAATCTGGAGGAAATCACAAATTAGAAGCCAAAAGAGACTAAAATGTAGAGATTATTTCCGGTTTAACTTGTTTTGTCCTAAAACGTGCAGTACCTGCATCAGTTATCTGTGGTAGCTGTTTTAGTAAATAGGTCCCAGAGATAGATTAAAAAATCACAGGAAAACAGGCAATATGGCGAGTGTAAAATTCCAAAGAACACAAGTAAGTAAATTAGTGAAATCATTCATTTAACAAGGGTGGTTTTAGTGAAATGAAAACTTTAATGCCAAAACCTGTGCCCTATAAACAATAAGCTGCAGACTTTGTATGATGTCACATCGAAGCTTTCATTTCTCTAAAGCACTAAACGTATTATCATGTGATAGGGCATTGCAGAACTTGGACCATGAGTGCTAATCCCTGCTTGGGAGCTTCTGGTTCACTGGTGGGGGTGCCACAACCTAATGGACCCTGGGTAGGGAGCCAAACCATATAAAATGCTTCGACTCCCTACAATGGGCATGGGTGCCAGGGTACATTGAGCTGTAATGGTTATGGTGAATGGAGTGTTCCTTTAAACTGCAAACTAATCTAAACCAGTCAGAAAAGTAAGCCTCTCCATCCAATCTGGCCATGAATTACAGCTGAATCACCCTAATTAGCACCTAGATTGGGCTGGGTGACTGAGAAGACACAAATGATTCACAGACAAAAATGGGTATATAGGAAGGGACAGAGAAGTGATATGAATCGAATGAATAAATATAATAAAAAGTCCCAAGTTGTAGGTAAACCTGTGTTTTTCTTGGGTAGATATAAAGTCCAAATGGATGTCTGAAGTTTTTTATGTTGGAGGTGTCTTGACTTGCTTGTCGATATGTGGGTACATAAAAGAGATAAGAAGAACTCCAATAGTGTAGGATGTCGACAAATTTTCAGATATAAATCTGTGAGTAGGTAAAAAACTCACCTTAGCATGAGCAAAAAAACCTGCTCAAGTGTTCTTAGCGTTCAGTGGCGTCAATCCCCCACTGGTCGGATATGGGTAATGAAGTCCTGAGTAATTCCTCGATATGTGGAGAGATGGGAGACGTATATAGTGCTCACTGAATTATTTAAAAGAACAAATAAAATGGTAAAATACTCACATGTATATGAGCAGGAACTACTGCTCAATATAGTGGCGCAGGTGGTACAATCCCCACCTTGGATTCTTGGAAAGTAGCGTACTTCAATCCAAATCGGTGACCAGGTAATTCAAATTAAAAAAAGAATTAAAAGTATATATAGGCAAAAATAAAAGCCAATATTTCTTTATTAAAATATAATATATCAGTATATAAAACAAACTAATAACAGCCAAAACGCGTTTCACCACACAGGGCTTTATCAAATGGCATTAAAAAGAGAGAAAAACCTGGTACAGTAAATGCTTTTATAAACTAAGAAAAGCAGATAAGGATTTGAATTTTGGCGCCAAAATGACGTCACTCATAAAATATGCATAATTTAAAACATATTCAAAAATCTAAATTTAAGATATAGAAACATATTTGAATAGAATCTAA